TGATTTTTAAATATATGTCTATTTAAAGAACTAGGAACACGGATGTGAAATTTTAAATACTTGTTTTTTTTTTTCCATTCTGGGAATATAGCAGTTATTTATGGCAGCCACAGAATAAAAAAAAATAAATCACAATTCTGCTTTTTTTTTTTTTCAATTAATATCTCAAAATTCGTCCTTTTTTCAATTCTGAGTTTATAGCTCACAATTCTGCCTTTTTTCTCGCAATTCTGAAAAAAAAGAAAGAATTGAATACACTCAGAATTGTGAGATATAAACTGTGAGATGAAAAGAAAAGTGTGAGATGAAAAATATTATCTTTTTTTGTTTGTTTTTTTTAAGTTTTTCAAATGTTTTCTTGATTCTGGAAACAACAACAACACAAAGTTGAGATATGTAAACTCAGAATTCAAAGAAAAAAAAGCAGAACTGTGAGACGTAAACTCAGAAAAATCAGAATTCTGATTTTATATCACGCAGTTGTGACCTTTCTCTCAGAATTGCAAGAAACAAAGTCTGATTTTTGAGAGAAAATGTCACAATAATTTAATATTATTAATAATTGTATTTATTTATTTTCATTCTGTGTCGGAAGCGGGCTTCCATAGTTATTTGTAATTTAAAGATGCATCTTTAGATTTCTCTTTCTCTTTGTTATATTTTTATTCTATGTGATTTCTTAATAAAATGCGATCATATCTGATTCATTTAAATGTGTAAATGTTGCTATTTTTTACAACTTATACAAGGTATAAGTGCAAGACACATATGGACATAAATGCACAAACAACAGCAACATTGCCCACTGATATCACTGAATCATGTAAATCATTCACTTTCATGCTTCTGCAGATTTTTTTTTTTCCTGTTTTCGGATAGGTGCAGCGATTACAACAAAAAGTTGTTTATGTAGTTTGAATATAGCGCAATAAAATAAATTATTAAATCAAAGGGGCTGCAAAACCATGTCAGAGCAACTTGTGTGAAGAAAACATTTCTTGTGTTGAATTTAGGGCTGCCCGAGTTGACCCTTGATCAGTGAAATCTCACTCCTGCAGCTCATATTGGATGCAGGGTTGTCAAGTCCATATTTTTCCCATGGAATTAGACTAATTTTAAACTGCTGCCGTAGGTAGATTTTTCCCCGTGGGTTAAAGGTGTTTGCATTAATTACATTTGACTGAAATACTTAAAACTGCGCGTGCGGGTAGGAAGCCTTTAGCTGTGTTTTTGATCAGTGTGCATAATAGTGACTGTAAAATGTGTAATTTAAGTATGGAAATTACATATTTTGAGTTTGAGATATATGGTCATTGTGCTACGTTGGGCTGTTATTGACTGGCATGGGCTAGGTTTGTCACGCAGACCTGGCAACCCTCCCAGATAGCACATGTACGTCTGCAAGATGTCTGTTAAAGATCTTTTCATCTGGAAATCATCTGCTGTGTACAAACATCTGATAGACATCTTTAAGATGCCAGTTTTACATTCAATCTAAATCATAAACATCTTAAAGACATCTTCTAAACGTCTATTTGACATCTGATAGGAAACGTCCTATAGACGTATTGCAGATGAGCAAACACTAAAAAATACGTCTAAATGCAGACGTCAAATAGACGTCTCTGTTATCAGGGTTCAGTTCAAGCGGCAGTGTGGAGCACAAGTCTTTTCCACTTTAATACAAGCTGCTGCATGGAAAAAAAAACATCAGAAGGTGTTTAAAGATACAGTACGACTTACTGAAATGCATCATGTCTCATGTAATCGCTCATTCAGAGTTTCAACCAAAAGGAAGACGTCAGATAAAACAGCTTTTGAACAATATGTCACTTAACGATGCATTTAAGTAAGTATATATTTTCACTTAACGAGCAGGAAAGTTATCCCGCGCAGTTGGTTAGTTAGCTATAAAAAATTAATAATTATAATTATAATAATTAATAAAAATTAATAAGAGTTAATTATTTGAGTGTGATTATTATATCTGAAAATAAATAAATTTTCTTTTAATCTCTAATATTATGTACCAAATGATATATATATATAAGAATAAGAATATATAGAAGAAAATTTCAGACGGCACTTCAGAGGCTTTTGCATCTGAAGTGTTCTATATATATATATATATATATATATATGCATAATACCAATGGAATTTCCCACCAATGGAAAACACCCAAAATGCCAGGCTCCTTAGAGTCACATTTGTGCATGGAGGGCTCTCAGTTTTAGTAACTGAAATCTTAATGGTGCAAATCAGCTTGTCCAAAGAGTGATTGTCCGCCATATCAGACTAATCACACCTACACTAAACCCAGAGCTTCAGACTCATGCTTAGTTCAAGAGGTTCGTTAGTTCAAGTGTTTCATTAAAGTGGGATACGCAGCACTGTTCTTAGGAAGCATGCATGATGAAATGTCACATTAGATTTGTGATTCTTGCTGTAGTTATTCAATGTAGTTACATTCAATGAAAACACATTAATACACATTTCATAATGATTTCAATATACCTCTTCCATGTTTTTAATTTATTAATAAAAAAATTTTTATGTATATTGTGGGGCTTATCAAGTGATTTCAGTTTCAATAATATTAAGGATGGATAACTTACCCTGTATGTTCTGCCTTATGCAAATACATTATCCCTTAAATATCATGCATATATTTTCATTCATATTGCATTTTCTTTCCAACTTAAATGAGAATGACAATTTGTAATAATGACTCCCCAAATAATGACTCTTCCTGAAGGCTGCATGAGTGCAATCACATACATCTGCTTAATTAAAGCAGAGCTTTATTCAGCCGTGTCTACTTAAATATATATTTACATAAATACTGTGGTATACATTAGTTCCAAGATATAAATATCTTTTTAATTGCCCAAAATACCCCAATTAGTAGCAAATACAGTACAACAATATACAATAATAATAAAAACAGCTATGATTTGCACATTATTGTGTTTTATTGTAAAATGCACCAAAGCAACCACTATATCAAAGATTCTTACAATCTTTTGAATCTTAATAATAAAAATAAAAACCCATACAACAACTTTTTTTGCTTTCATAACCTGAATTATAGGGTAATTTTAATTGCATTCCAATAGGCTTCATCACGCAGTGAATGCTTTTGGACTCTCAAGACGTGTTTTTGTTAGTTTTTTTGCGAAGTGAGTCACATACTCAATACTATCATTAAAACAACAATTGTGATATTATCGGAGAGGATAAATATCACACACTCCTAGTCCTAGTTACTTACTTATGCATTATTCTAAGCCATTTTGTAGTAATAAATAGCATGTGTTCACACTGAAAATTTCAAAAAAGAAAAGGTGCACTTCAAATACAAGGATGATGCACTTAATTAAATGAAAAAAAATGAAGCATGGGATTTGTTGAAACGTCATACACTGTCGCAGCTTTAATTGCGTAGCAAAGGGGAGGGTCTATCAGATTCCAAAACTGGATGACAAAACAACCTTCATAAAATTCATACGGTAGATCACATAGTGCATAGTATAAATGTATAGTGTGACATTTGGGACACAACTATAGTCACAACTAAGGGGCTATATTCATGACATAGAAATATGTCATGAATATAGAAATATAGAAATATATAGAAATATAGAAATATGTCATGAATTTTTTTATTTATTTATTTTTTTCCAAGATGGCGCTGCTAAGTTCGGACGCCGTCCAGGTCGCTCCACTTAGATTGTGCTTTTATTTACTTTTGTACTTTCTTTTGCTCTCTCTTTTTACACACATATCGTCTGCACTGATCACTTACGACAAAAGAACACTTTTGGACATTGGACACCGCTACACTAACCTGTTTCAGGACACTTTATCCTCCAACCCATCGTGGCCTTCTGAGATTCTCCGGAACGCCGAGATGAACAATGGCCACCTGAATAACCCACCGCGGCGACGGATTAAGAAACACCGCGGGAAGCGCACTGGAATTCGCAACAGACTGAGGCAAAGAGCACACAGCCCTCCTCTGCCGAGCATTCTGCTTGCGAATGTCCAATCCTTAGAGAATAAGGTGGACGATCTCAGAGCCAGGATAAGTTTCCAACGGGACATCAGGGACTGTAACATCCTTTGTTTGTCTGAAACATGGCTAACGACCTTGGTCCCGGACACTGCTGTAACGCCGTCTGATAACTTCTCTGTTTTAAGGATGGACAGAACAGCCGAGGCCGGGAAATCCAAAGGTGGTGGAGTGTGTTTCATGATTAACAAGAAATGGTGTGACCCCAGGAATATCTCCACTCTGTCGCGCTCCTGCTCGCCTCATCTGGAACATTTATCCATTATTTGCCGCCCATTCTATCTGCCCCGGGAGTTTTCATCTATCATCGTTACTGCTGTTTACATTCCACCACAGGCAGACACCAGCTTGGCTTTGTCTAAGCTTCACGATGTGCTTAGCGGTTAACATCCTGACGCTGCTTTTATCATCGCGGGGGACTTTAACAAAGCCAACCTCAGGCAGGTCATGCCGAACTTTTATCAACATATATCCTGTCCAACTAGAGGTCCGAATACACTGGATCATTGCTACTCTCAGTATAAGAATGCCTATAAAGCTCGCTCACTACCGGCTTTTGGCAAATCGGACCATGCCGCCATTTTCCTCACACCGGAATATAAACAAAGGCTCGTTCAAGAACCCCCGGTGCAGAGAGTAGTGACGCGCTGGTCCTCCCACTCAGAAGCTATGCTACAGGCGGCTCTTGATGACGTCGACTGGGACATGTTCAGAGCGAGTTCATCTGACGTCAGCGAGTTCACGGATGTAGCATTAAGCTTTGTAAACACGCTAACCGAACAAGCAACAGATACAAAAACTGTAAGGACCTTCTCAAATCAAAAACCGTGGGTGGACAGAACAATCCACAAATAAAAAATCTTGAATCTTGAATAGCCTAGCCTCATAGACTCTTTTGGTATTTTTACAAACGAATTCTTTCTCATGTTATGGCTCCAGCACACTGAAGGACATCAGGATGGTCGTCCTATTGGAGGTCTCGCTCAGGCTGGCAGCGAGGTCGAGCTTTGGTCCTCTGCCTGTAAACGCCTTCCCTTCCCAAACCCCGCTCTTACTGAGCTGGAGATCCACTTTCTGATCTCCTTGCACACTCACTCCTCGGGCCCCTGGGACACGTACACAAAATTTCACCCAGGACGAGGCCTCTAGCTGCCCCGCATGAGGTTCAAACAGCACACTGCCCTTCTTCCAGGTGTTGTACATGCATGGAAATGGAGGCCACTTATTCACTGAGGCATTCTTCAGGATGTAATCACACAGGTACACTCTAAAAATGCTGGGTTGTTTCAACCCAATTTTGGGTCAAATATGGACTAACCCAACTGTTGGGTTAAATTTTGGTTACATTTTTTAATTAAATTTTTAACCCAACAGTTGGATTAGTCCATATCTGACCCAAAATTGGGTTGAAACAACCCAGCATTTTTTAGAGTGTAGGTGAATTCTTGTTTGAAGGACGTTTTTCCATAGAGACCAAGCTTGTAGACTCCAGACTCAGGTAGGTTGATGCTTATGGTGACTTTGCTCCCATTGTGAGTGAAGAGGACGTGGTTTGAAAGGGTGGTTTGACTTGCTGGTTGATCGCACTGTTCTTTAGTTAAAACGCAGTGGAGATCTATATCTTGAGGGTTTTGGAAGGTGATGTCGCACTTTCCTTGCTGTGTATAAACCAGAGCTTCTGTATGGCTGAACTCGAAGAGGCCGGCCTCCAGAGTTGTGATACCAGGACCGCAGGAACTACTAAGGCCACTGGGAAAAAGCTCATTCAGGCTGACAGCACCAGCTGTGTAGTTAAGAAGAAAGTTGCCTGCATTCTCGAAGCTGTCTGCTTCATTCGCCCAGTCCCTTACGAACACAGACAAACGGTAGTAACCGTAGTAAGGACAGAGGACGTTACATGTGAGTTGGTCTGGCTCAGTCTGAATGGCCAAGCACTTCTCGGCTAAAGTCTTATCCAAGTTCTTATGGCTCAGTTCACACAACATCATAAGTGGTCTAGTAGTCTTTAAGACTAACCTAAAGGATCCAGACTCTAGCAAAATGAAATCATTTCCATAATTGCAAGGCTCGAGTCCTAAACTCGTCGCATCTGGTTGCAGGCCCCAGCACACATGGGGATTCTCGGGCAGCTCTTCTGAGGTCCTGGGTGATGGACATTCCAGCTGGAAGGAACAGATCCAGTCAAATGTTTCGGATGTGCTTCCAGGTCGAGCAAAAAGGCTGAGCTCATACATGCCAGATTTTGGGGGCATGAGGCGAAGTGTCATGCTGTGCCGCGTGCTGGTAAGAAAGCCAATGGAGTTGCTCAGCTGTTGTAGTTCATTGCCGCTGGGCTGGGAAATCTTATAGGTGAAATCGACGAGCTGAGGGAAACTCATCGATACTGTCGCTTCGCCGATCTCTGGGACACACAGATGGTAAAGGTGTCAATTACTCACAGCAGCACATCAACTGATGGATCAATGACATGAAACTCATCTAGTAGTTCATTCAAGAATACATTAAAGATGTAATTGATACCCTTTTTTATATAATGACCGTGTATTTATTTCTGAATTAAACTTTATTTGGGTGTATATAGTATAGAATATTAGGGTCAACCGACCTAAGATCATAATAAAGAAAAAATAGTTGAAAAAAGGAATGGAACGAATGAAAAGTATAGTTTAAGGGAAAAAAAAGGGGCAAATGATAGAAATCCCAATGATTGGAAATCCCATGTTTTGCTTTCCAGGATCAGGTAATCCATCTTATTTTTCTGCTGGTTTTTCAAAGCAAAAGTGGATTGGATCGCAATGAGGGAAAAATGGGGGAAAAAATGCTTTTGCATTCACTACATTTGACTGGTTCTTCTCTGATGATTGTGCAAATTTAGTTTTAAATTAAATAGATTTTTGTTTGATATTGAAAGCTGTTTGGGGAATATTTTGGCACCAAAGTCTATTTTTTTACTTTACTGTAGGGCTACTGAAAGGCTTAAGAGGTAGCCTAATGTCTACCTATCTTATGTCTATTTACTGTATATATATATATATATATATATATATATATATGTATATGTGTGTGTGTGAATGTATTGCATGTTACAAAAGTTGTATTTTTGGACCAGCTTTAAAGTTTTATTATATTTTTGTTCCTGAAATCCACCCTTCTGCTGGGATCAGTATAATACCTTTGGATCAAAGGTATCTCAATCTTACTCAAAAGTTTTGAACACCCCAAACTGACAATTTGATCCAGATTAAAACCAAGATTGGATTTTGTGATCTAATCCGATTTCAGAATCTTTAGAACAACCCATTTTCAAGATTTGATCCAATCCGATTGCTGAAATCTGATGAGATTATTTTTGAACAACTGGCCCCTCATGACTGTGTCAAGGTCAATATCAAATAATCTGACATTTTATGACAAGACAAGGTTAATTCAGATAGTAAAATATTTGTGGTGTGGACCATAACTTTATTTATGAATGATAATTTATTTATTTTTAAAAATATGTATTTATTCATATTTATGTATAACAAAATAATATTCATTATTTTGTCACTAAGCATTTCTTGAAAATTATTTGAAATAAACATGATTGCAAAGAGCTAATTTCTAAGAGAATAGCATGTGTGTTTTAAACTTGAGTTACCTGTAACTATAAGGATGTGCTTTGGGTCAATGAGGGTTAAATTTAGTCTTCTCAAACTCTTCAAGCTCAATGGGGCTTTCCAACAGCAGACACTCCTCCTCATTAGGATAGTGAGAGTTGATGAAGTTCTCAGGGTCGGTCAGGAAGTAGAACTCTTTATATCTGAAGTTTTAGTCATTTTCAATATGTAATAATGGTCAGTGTATTTGGTGTTGTATATAATGTACATCTGAAATATATTGCATGCTCATTTAGGTCTTCTTGAAGTGATTTGTTCTGTAGACCAGTCTCACCTCTTTATAAAGGTTCTGTTGTCTAGGTCCACATATACAGCGCCCCAGCAGGCGTCCAACAGGTACCAGTGTCTGTCCAAACACACTGTATTCCACCTGTGGTTGGATTCAGTGTTACGGTAACTCTGACCCGGCCGGTAACCAGCACATTTACCATAGCCCGACACCTCTCTGCACTCAATACCAGCTTCTCTGAACAGACAGAGTGATTAGGCAACCACATCAGTAAAATTCAGTGTGACTGCATGGAAAAAGAGTTAAGTGTGTGTATTAGACAGAAACCACGACATTGGGCACCTACGTCACAATGTTATTGAACAAAAACATCTTCAAATTTGTTTACCAAATTTTTTGTACATTTTTTACCAACTAATCTGTAATTTTCATTTTCATTTCCAAATAATTCTGCAACTAATTCTACAGTACATATTGCTAAACTGTTTGATAATCTCTGGAATGTGTCTGCACTTATGGAGCCCTAACGCAGTAGATTTCCAGGGGGGGAAGAAAACCCAGCATAGACTTTTGTGAGCGCAGAACCTTTTTCTGCATAGACGGAGAAAGCTATATAATACATTTAAGCACCGCAACGATTGCTTGTTATTCGCAGGTGGCAATCAAATAATGCTGGCGCTTTTCTCGTTTTAATTTATTCAATGTAAGCAGTGCTGGGTAGTAACTGATTACATATAATCTGGATTACGTAATCTAAATCAGACTCTTTTGAATAAATTGCTTGGATTACCTGCACATCTGTAAACAGACGCTGGAGTAACCGGAGCACACAGCTCGTCCAGACAAAATGACCTGTTCAGGAGGACAAACCTTCTCTGAGAGGCCCAGATAGCCCTTCACATCATACTCTAAAAGTAAAACACAGTATCTGTTACCAGTAACTTGTCACTATAGCAGATGTTTGCCTAGTTTATTCAGTTTTCCATTAACTTTTCAAGCTTTACCACTAACCATTCAGACCACCTGGAGTTTCGGGCGGGAGTTTCTGAAATTTACCAGAAATTTTTCGCCCCTTTGCAACCCTACTTAAAGTATTTCTGATGTTGAGTCCAAAAAGTAAGGACCAATTTGATTAATTAAATTCTGCAATGGTGTTGCATTAACATGGCTCAAGTTACACCAAGCTTTTATTGGTCAGAGGAAAAGGACATAATTAAACGGGTGAAACTCAAAAAAGAAACAAACCCTTGATTGCTGATGTGGAAGATACTTTTTGTGCTTGAGTATGTGTGTGTGAGAGAGAGAGACTGAAACTGACCAATGTAGTGGCAAAGCCAGATCCAGATGGCACGCAGTTTGTCTAAATCACTGCTTGCCCCCTCTGTGATTATCTGGGTGATTGCTCGCACTGAAAATATCTGCCTGATTCTGAGCTGCAAATTACAAATCCAAATAAACATGTATCAAACTACTCGCTCATCCAAAAACAAAGATATACACGTAAGATATCTGATCTCTCTCACCTCTCTTCCAGCACTGATTGCATGTGTGTCAATCTTGCGGAAGACCTCAGGATTCGGTATTGGGTCCTTTTTAAGTTTTCTTCTGGGTACATTTAATGTTATTTTTCCTGAGGCAGTGGTTGATGTTCTCCTTAACTCTTCCTCTTGGGTCATTGTGTTCTTCTTCATCAATCTATAAGTACCATTTTCTTTGCTTTCTTGGCATTTAGCCAGTGACCTCTGTTCATCTCTATCCATCATGTCCCACTTTTCAAACATAGAGCTCTTGATTGGCTCTTCTGCATTGACTGATTGAGGTCTTGCTGTCATTTTACCTGTTTTCCCATCAGTGATTGATGACCCACCGGTCTTTAAAATCCACTTTTTATGCAGGACTACACCCACAGCGTCTTCCTTTGGGATATCTTTAGCCCGTCCTTGTTTTAATCTTTGCATTTTCCTTGCAGTCTTGTTTGCTTTGTTGTTCATGTCTCGGGTTTGGCCGTGAGGTTGGAGTGTAAACAGGGGGCTCCCCTGATGCCTTGGAGCTGCTGTTGTTCATTTTGTAGCTGTGGAGGTCACTGGTCTTAGGTTAGAGGCGATTTAAAGCCTTTCAACTCTAAAAACGTGTAGAATGCCAGTAATCTCTTCCCTTCTCGTCCTTCACTGTTTAAGCTCTAGACATGAATGATGATACCACAAACTGTGGGGCTTGTTGACCAGAGGAGTGCTTTTACTTTTCGATGCAATTACCTGGTGGATGATAAATTGGGGCATAAAATAAATAAATACATTTGCATTGAGAGAGATACCTGAACCATATGGAGAGACAGAATACCATAGAGCGCTTTTTCAACTTTAGCCAGTAAATAACCACCTAGCAACCACCAAGAACATCTAGTAACTGCATAGCATTACACTAAAACTAACTCTGAAAACATTAGCCACCACATGGCAATGCAATGGAAACCACCAAAAGAATGCTCTTATAGCAGTGGATCTCAACCTTTTAGACTTAAAGGCCCCTGGTTGTCCAACAAAATATTCAAAGTAGTATGAATTTAGTTTCATGCCTGCAAACTCGGCATTCGATGTGTAAATCCAATGAGTTTTTATATTAAGGGGGGTTATATAATTATATATCTGAAGGGAACTTACTGATTCAGAAAAGTTTCGATGGCAATTTCTTCAGGGTTCCCGTGGGTCCTTAAAAAGTCTTAAATTTAGTTGTATCAAATTTGAGGCAATAAAAAGTCTTAAATTGTACAAGAAAGTCTTAATTATAATTTCAGGAGGTGTTAAATTTGGGGACGGAAAGACCAGAATTGCGATATGGCTTAATGTGACAATTAAACTTCAAAAGGCGATGATTTTATTGAATAAACATGGTGCTGAGCGTTTCAGAGTCCGGTGCTGTGCTGCTTTTTTTTACTGTCATTACCAGGGAAACAGTTATATTTCTGCTACTCCGAAATCTGTGAGAAATATAACGACCTAAAGACAAAATAACTGATAAAAATGAGCTGTTATAGGAGCAATAGCCATATGGGCAGTGCAGTGTCATATGCCATAGCTGTGCACAAGGTGTTTGTCACAGCTCCAGACTTATTTGTTCATTAATGACGTCATCAGCGACTAGTCGACTTCATCACATAAAAGTCGACTTTAAAAAATCAGAAGTCATTCAACCCCTAATATTAGTATACTTCAGCTTGTGGAAAAGCTACTTGTGATGAACTTTGATTCTTCATGTGGCGTTCTCTTGCACCAACCTGCATTATTATGGTGGTTGTCAGTATGTTAAAGGGATAAAACAGATTTTAGTAGCAGTGTGCGTTGTTGAATTTACTGGTTTACATTCAGATTTTCTTGTTTGTAAATTACAGTTTTATACTGTAAAATTTACAGTTTGTTAGGTAAATAAAACCCCAAAATACTCAAATAAAGCTCAAACACAATAGAACATACAGAAAAATATGTCCTGCCACATGGAATTTACAAAACACAAAATAATATTACAATTAAGAAACCATTCATAAAAATTCACACATACATTAATAAACATCTTAACAACAATATATTTATTTCACTGGCATGTATGGCCAATATAACTAAATATATTAAAACAGATTTCACAGAGAACAGTGAAAACCAAGCCAAGCAACCCAAAATAATCTAGCTGGTTCAAAATAAAAAATAGTTGAAATTATACCCAGTGTAATTACCAGAAAGCCTTAGAGTCATGTAGATGGCAAATAGAAGAAATCCCTAAGAATATTACTATCCCACAACCCATGTCCCCATACCACACTGACAGATGCTTTCAGAAATGTGTGCCATTATGCTCTTGTTGGGAGAATCACAGCACTGTGGTAATCACATCTTTTCATGAAGGTGCTTTAATAACGCCATCTTCCTCAGTGCGTAATGAATAAATGCACTTCTTACAGGTATGGCAATTACCGGACCAGAGAAAGTGAAATTGGTAGCGTGCCCCCGGGATAGTATATCATTTCATGTATTTACAGCTGAGAAATTGATTTGAGCAACTACTGGCAAAAAAAATTAAATATTAAAGGGAACACATTTTTGAGTATACATACATTTGTAATTAGTTCTTTCTAGGAATCAGAGTAAAAGACAAGATGGAAATGTAGAGTTCAGATGTCAAAGTCATCCTACCATCCCTGTTTTTAATGCATCTAAACCTGAAGTGTGAGGTGAAAGTGAAACTTTTTAACGAAATACTGATGATTTCTGATGATTTCGATATCAATGATGTCAGCGAGGATGGAGCTAGTTGCTACATGTTTTACTCCAGTGAACATTTGTCAGGTTGGGTTTATTTTTAAAAGTCAAAAACCCTGTTAAACATTGAACTGCTATTGCATTGTCATGCTGTTTGGGGTAAGTTACTATGAAACCTGCCATTAAATAACATACCGAAGGCTTTTTCAGCTAACAGTTATGAAAAGCAAAATTCATGAAACAGGAAAAAGTGAGAAGGTATAACATACAACAATATCAAATTCACTACTACTGAGATATAAGACTTGTGACAACAACCCAGAGTCTCACTCACCTTTGTCCTGTTACAGATACATACAAAAGATAAAGAACTGAAATGCAGGAATATATATGGTGGCCATAAAATATATACTGTATACAAACACTGCTTCTTTCTGAAATTATCTTTTCGGTAACACTTTAGATTACAGCCCGCAATGTACCGCGTAATTAAACAGCATTTACAGCGTACCTATTTGTAACTATAGAGTACCTCCAAAGTACCTACTGGTATATAAGGGAACCTACTCATTTGGGGAATAAGGGAGAAATAACCTGCAAAATTATAAAACATTTATACTGTAAGTATTTTATAACTAAAGAGCACTTATTCGACACACAGAACGCAATTTTCTGCATCAGCATAACTTACAGCTGAACGTAAGTGTAGGTAAACCGAAACAATCTGCAACGTTTGGGGGATAAGGGGGTAATGACTTGGAAAATTAAAAGTATTTATACTGTTAGTATTTCATAAGTAAGGTGTAACTATTCTAAGATTACCTGGTATGCATGTCCTACTGTGTTAGGCAACGATATTATGATTTAGAGCATGTTGCCTTATTTTAATAACACAAAATATATGATGCAGTATATTTTTACACTACGTACTGGGAAGGGATACCCCTTTATTTCCCAAACGTTGCATATTGTTCCCTACGAGTAGGTACTGTGGCGGTACTCTATAGTTACAAACAGGTACGCTGTAAATTCTGTTTAATTACGCGGTACATTGCGGGCTGTAATCTAAAGAGTTACCAAAATGTAAATGTAATGCTCCTATTCTTTTGAATCACTGTGATGAAATGACTTCCATCTGCTGAAAGGACTGTTATATACGCGCTGCGACGGGCTGGGATGTGTAGTACTGGCAGTATGAGCGGATGACAGACCTAAAGATGCTACAAAGCTGCTCATGACAGTCAACCACTGGCCCTTTCGGTTGGATCACCCACCAGAAAGCCAAAGGGACTGTGAGTGGCAGAATAGTTGGAGAAATGTTGGAGAACACATATGGATTACATTTCGAAAGTCAAGACATTGAATAATTTCAGATTGCACACAATTTCTAATTAACTAATCAATTCAAATTGATGACACTTAGAAGCACAGGATGCATTTTGCATAATTTTCGAATCATGCTGGAGAACATGATCATCAGGTTTTGTGTAGTTCTTGTGTTACTGTCATTAAAGGAATAGTTCACCCAAAAATTTTAATTTGCTGAAAATATTCTCCCCCTCAGGCAATCCGAGATGTGAATAAGTTTTCTTCATCAGATTTGGAGAAATGTAGCATTGCATCAGTGTCTCAGCAGTGGATCCTCTGCAGTGAATGGGTGCCGTCAGAATGAGAGTCCAAACAGCTGATAAAAACATCACAATAATCCACACCACTCCAGTCCATCAGTTGCATGTTTGTAGCTTTAAAGCAGAAGATAGAAACCAATGATATTCTGATTTTTTGTATAGCTTTTCACTTAAATTCATGCTAATAATAATTCAAACTAAACAGTGTCAATGACTGCTCCCCTTTTTTTTATTTGCATATATGGACATGATTTCTCATTACGTTCGAAACCATAATGATAAAATCAGAAGAATCAGACAATTTTAACTACAATATCATGTTGCTGCTATATTAACAGTTGTATGTTTAGATATAAAATGATTATTATTGCACAGATTAAATGCTGTGAAAAAAAAATATATGTAAAAACAGCACAAAGTACTGGGTTTATTTTCTGAATTTTTGGTGAATTTTTGCATTTCATTGCGTTGTGTTTTAGTGTCAATGGAATTTCCCCTTGCACTGCTGTGCTTTATATTTCTATGCTTCTGTTAAAAGGTTAACACATGTGGCAGGGTAAATAAGTATTTAAGGTTGTCTTTTAACCTGTAGGACAGTTCATTTCTCCTTGCTTGGATTCAGATCCTCTTCGCATTGAGGTGAAATGGCAGAAGTCACCGTGAGCAGTTTGACTGCAGGTAGGACACACATACACCCTAGTTTTTTTAAAGGTGGTTGCTGATAGCTGTGTTCTTAAATGTTGTGGAAGAGCTACTTACGTAAGTATACTTACTTTTATGTGTTCATGTTGTCATGGTACAGGCATGTGAGATTACTTTATCCCCCTCAATTTCCCCTCCAGTTGGGGACAACATGTAGTCTGTTCAGCTTAATGCAATATACAGTAACATTGAGCAAACTGTGCTTATTCCAAAGCACAACAACAAATAAAAAATGAATGCACATTTATTATAATAACATTCATGATATGTAAATATATTCAGTTTTTTTGTTTGTAAGCTTTATTTATTTGGTGCAATGGTAATGTTTGACTGCAGTGTATGTGCATTAACTGTGCTTTTCGAGACTCAGTCAACTATTCATGGAAATGATTAATTCTATTCTCATCTTTG